ACTCAAGAAGATAAGCACCCAGAGGACCGAGCGCTACAACAAGTCACCTTAGAGGTCAGGAAGTTGAGGAAGGACTAGCAAAGGTCTATTTCATAGCAGCAAGCCCACTAGGAAATGAACACTTTCAGAATTTCACTTGGGATCGAATTATCTTCATTCACTCCCTGTTTCATGATGTTATATAAGGTTTCAAAACTGAAGATGCCCAGGTTTTTATCAAGACATGCTATTTCTTCCAAAGAAACTTGTACTCTAAAGATCCACTTATAGGCCTCTCAAATTTACTATTGTCAAAACTGAACCCCTGATCTCCCTGCAAAGCCCTTGCTTCCCTGCAGCACCTTCTCTATTTAAAGTGACAACTTACTCCTTCCTGTTGTTCGTTAAAAATGTGAAGTCAGTTTTGGTGACTCTCTTTCATTCACACCACACCTCATTTCAGTAAATGACTCAACCTGACCAGATATGCAAACACTAACCACTTGTCAGCCTGCCTTCGGACCCCACTGGGCCCACGCGCCACCGTTTCTTGTCTGGATTATCCTAATGGCCTCCTAACTTGTCCATCTTGCCCTTTCACATGGCAGCCGGTGAACTGCTTCTCATCTCACTTGTAAGTCAGATTGCGTGACCCTCTCCTTGCTTTGGATCACTCAAATAACGTCTTCATGATGCACAAGCCCTTATAGGAACAAAAGCGAAGGTTTTTTTGGCAATGTAATTCCCTTACTCAGTCTTACCTCCTCCCTCTCCCTGTCTGCCTCACCATCCCCCAATCTCATTCTGCCCCAGGCAGAGTTCCTTTCATTTACTGTTTTCAAGCAGGGCAAACACATGTGCACACTTCTACCTCAGGGCCTTTGTATCTGCTGTTCCTTCTGCTTCCAGACATCTGGCAGCTATTAGTACGGTAACTCCCCCTACTCCCTCCAGGCATCTGTTCATATTTCATCGAATCAGGAATCCTCCATGACCGTTCTGTCAAGAGCACCTCTTCCCCTGCTTTTCCTTATAACACAGACCACCAATTATTATACCTTCTTCCTTCACTAGAATACATGAACACAGGCAATTTTTTTTTATCTCTTTGGTGCCTAGAACCATGGCTATCATGTAGTAAGTACACCAAAGGTGTTTGGTGAAAGAACCATTCAGATTCTTTCTGACACATCTCACATTTCAATCCCTTTATCCAATCCAGCTTGCGGTGGATTTTCATACGGGTATAAAAACAGTTCTTCATACGTTTAACCTGTTGAATTTCCTTTACTAAATCTCAGATGGCTTTCTCAACATCTTCCTACCTTCTCACTGACCATTTAGTTAATTCCTGATACAGCTGCCATTTAACCATTATAATGACTATAGTGACTGGAACTAATAATTTTTATTCAACTGATTTGTCATGAAACATTCATCCCCCGATACCCTGAAACTATAGCTCTATTCTCAAGTGAAATCACAAATCAAACAGAATGAAATGCAGAACTCCATAGTCCAGACCCCAACTAGGAACAAATTCTCTTGCCTTTGAATTATCTAAACTTATCACTTCTTCCATTTCTCCTTCCTATTATTTGAATTTTAACTTGCTGGACTTTTTCCCATTGGAAGGTAAGAAAACATGTGGGTATTGCATCAGTTTATCTACTGATCACTCACATTGGGGCTCCAATGGGATGGGAAAATAACATCAGCTCATTTGTCTATCATTCTTGGTTTCCATCTCTACAGGCCCATGGTAACTGTAAGATCTCTCTGCAAAGATGACCCATGAAAACAGACTCTGAGCCACTGCAAGCCACTTTTCATCCTTCTTTGCTGTCACTGACTTTTTATCAGTTTACTTCATTAGGAAATACCCTGGTGTTTTAATGGACTCACATGAACTTATATTCACCCTTAGATAGCATCAACTTCCAAATAACTGAGAGCAAACTTGCAAAAAAGAACTACTGTCACATCACTTTATAGTTTGGATTTTTATTTCTACTTGGCATTCGTGGGATTTTGAAATGTGACCACAGACTCCCTTATTATAACCTCTACCTGTTGACTTAACCTCTTGACAACTGGTATCTACTGTTAAGACTGGATGTCAAAGAGAAATTTTAAGAATACTTCAAAGGATAAAATATTCTGATAATTGTGGTCTTAATAAAACATTTGTATCATTTCTGGGTACATATTTACAAGAATTGAAAGCAGATTACAGATAATTGAGATGATATGCACATTCTTCCATGTTCATTGTAAGATTACTTAAAATAGCAAAATGTCGAGAGCAGATGAACAGATAAAACTATGATACATGTATACAATGAAATACTACATAGACATCTGTCATATGCTACAGCTAAAGGACACTACTGTAAGTGAAATCAGTCACAAAAGGACAAATATTGTATGATTCCACTGACAGGTGGCCTCTAATCAAATTCCTGTAAAGTAGAAAGGAAGCTACCAGATTAGGGGGAGGGGAGAAATGGGCAAAATTTGTTTAATAGGTATGTATAGAGCTTAGTTCTGTAAGTTGAAGTCCTGGAAATGTCTCATAACAATGTAGATATAATTACTACTATTAAAAAGAGTACACTTGGGGGAGGGAGGAGCGGGGAGCGGAAGGACTAGAGTCAAAATAAGGGGGGGTGCAACTGTATGGGGATATAACCAAAATGAAAATGCATACATTGTGCAAAGATGAAAAATGATGTAAGAATTTTATAAAATATTAAAAAATAAATTAAAAATAAATTAAAAAAAGAGTACACTTAAAAATGTAAGATGGTAAGTTTGATGATTTTTTTAAAAATACACACAAAACCAAAACTTATTTATGTCATTTTGTTTGTTTTCGATGGAGATGAGGTGGGACAGATGCTTATAATATATAGATTGCACTTACCCTTTTGTAAGGAGTTTCCTTATAAACCACATTCGAAATACCTCTCACACACTGAATAAATACACACTAGAAATAAATACTGTCTAGTTTTGTTCATTATATCTCCAGAGCCTAAAAACCAGTATGTATGTATTTATAGAAATGCACTAATATAGTATTGAACACTTAAGAGATGTAACACCCAGGTCTACAATGACCAACCAAACTGAAGTGTAATGAGAGATACACCATAAAGGAGGCAGAATCAACTTTCAAAAAACTAATTTTAATCAAAACAAAAATTGTTGATCATTAACAAGTTTATAAAACAGTGATTTAGTTACATAAATAAATTGATATCAGTGTATCAAATCTTAATTACTTTCAACTTCATGAGCATGTTTACATGGGTGATGAAGTACAACCTTTTTTTTTTCTTTTTACCTATTATAATAAATAAAATGGAGCGCATGAAATAGTTCTTCTAAACAAAAATACCTACAAACATACCTCTAGCATGTTCTCTAATGAAAGGGAACAAGAGACACTGGACAACTTTTGCACCAAAACATAAAAATTGCTTAAAAAGCACAAGGTTACAGAACCATCAGCTAAAGTAAAGACACTATACTGTAACCAAAGTTGGTATTTAATAATATAATGAACAGTTTGGTAGTTAGATCTCCAGTTTGGTTATTTTAAAGCATTAAGACAAGGCAAGATAGAAGGCTGCTTTTGTTTTGAGTAATTCTAGAGAAAATAAAATATATTTAAAAAAAAAAGAAAGAAAACAAAAGTAGAACAGTCATACCTACACAACTTTCTGTCCTGCACAAAGTCAAAATACCTATGCAGAATAGATATATAATATATATAATGTTATTTGTGCACAAAGGTTAGCTTATTATTAGCTCACTGCAAAGGCGTAATGTATCATATGTCAATTGTTTTGGAAAACATTTTGCGTTTTGTGTCAAAAGGATATTTCTTTTAAGTTTCCTAGGCTAGGAGGCACGAACCCCAGTTCCGGCATACTGTATATTCTTAATGCTAAGGCTTGCTGCTCTGGCTGTGTGTTTTGTTGTCCCTCTTTATTCTAGTGCCTGTTACAAGCATGTGTGGTGTAGTGGTTGTCGGTGGTGTGTGTGTGTGTGTCTTGTGTCTGTGTGTATACATATATATACGTATACATAAGCTATATGCCTATATATACATATATAATTTCTCCCAATAGATCTCAGTCCAACCATGCAATCCAAAAGGTGGCTCTGCATAGATGCCCAGTATGAAGTTCACCGCCTGAGCCAACCCTGAAGCAAGGCGCACTTTTAGTCCTTCTGATAGGTTTTCTCTCAGTTTTTGTTTTTGTTTAAAACCAAGCTACTGCAGCTTCAAGTATTTTGCATTACATAGAATATTTTTTATAAATTAGTTAATGTTATATTTCAATATTCAGACATATACTATAATATATATACAGTACAATAAATGCTCTCATTCTTTTTTTAATTTTTTTTGATAAATCCCTGAGAATGTATGTTGACAGTCGCTAAGTTTCCACATGCACAAGCATTGTGTGCCATGCTTCTGGACGAACAGCACTGCAAAGCCACGTGGGTCAGCCTTTTAACTATTAGTATTTCATTTTGTTGGTTTGTTTAAATATGCTGAAAATGTAAAGATGAGTTACAAAGGAGTAAAGCTGAATCCATTCGAGGTACTTATCACAGGATGGAGGTGTTTTGTTTGGTTTTTAAAGCCATTTCAATTATTTTTTTTGAGGCTGTGAACGTATACAGAAAACAGGAGAGCTATGTGGACTTTTGCCACTTGACAACATATACTCAGTGTAAACCAAACCTTTTTAACCTCTCTCTCATACAAAACCAAGGAAAAAAAGAAATTTAAAAAATACATAATAAAATAAAAAGAAAGAAAAGAAAGAAAAAAGGAAAAAACACACAAACTTTCACAACATGACAATTTAGTCTGCAAACGCAATAGAACTATACACATATAATACCGGTGTGGCTCTGTTCTTTAAGTTAAAAAGGGTACAAAGGCAGGCTCAAGTAAAAACAAACCATCCCTCCCATCCCCACCCTCCCCACCCCCATTCATACAAGTTCTATCAACCAAACCTCTCCCGAACCAACATCATCAGTTTCTTTTTGCCTTTGTAGATTTGTTTCAGGTTGTCAATAAACTGTGTAAACTGAATGTGTCCATCATGCGCCATTAAGAAGGTCTCTCGGGCCTTGCTGAGGAACTCTATGAACTCACTATAGTGCCGAGGACTGATGTGTGTGAGCCGAGAGTGCGTTGTGTTGATGTAAGCCCCGATCGTGGCATCCAAGAGTTGCCTCAAGGGGGCTTTGTCCAGTGACATGAGCTTACCAGAGTTCCTCCTCCCGTGAAGTCCCACCATGCCAGGGGTGGTCAGAGTGCATCTGCGCAAAATGTCTGACAGTACCGTTGCACACTTGACACTCTTGACCACCAGAGGTATTATAGCTGCAAGCTCATTTTTACCGAGGGAGTGGCTAAGCGCACAGGCCCACAAAACGTCGTTAATGGCAGGGTGTGTGTCCTGATTGTAGCTCAGGTTGAGATGGGTCATGGCCAGGGTGGCCAGCTTGTAGGCCCTCATGGGGTACCCACGGTGCTCCATGTACCGTGCTATCGTAAAGAGCTGGGTGTAGCTCATGCCGGTCGTAGCAGCGTCGAGAACAATTTGGTACGCCGTCTCAAAAGCTATGTGATCCTTTTCACACAGGGTCAGTGCGGAGAGGGCACAGTTCTGAGGGTCCTTCATGGCGCACTGCAAAGCAAGTGTCCGGGCACTGCTGGCCAGCTTTTCCTGCTGGTGGCAGTCCAGATGCAGACGGACGATGGTGCTGTTGGACATCACCGTGGTGGCAACTATACTTGTGGCCTCTGTGGGAGTGAAGAGCGTAAACCAGCTCTGCATGATGCTGTCCAAGGCATAAACACCTACAGGGAACACAAAGAAGCACTTTTACTGACGAGGATGTTGTGCAGAGGTGTTGCCTTATTTCCACGTTTATAATCAATGCTTACATTGCTAACCATCATAGGACATGAGCAAGGCCTTGGAGCAACCTCTTAGAATAAGGATATTATGGATTGTTATTCAGTGAAATACCCGAAAGGAACATGAACTTCCGTAATAAAGAACTAATCCAATCGGTAGCTGGTATTTGCACTGTTCTGCTTGCCATTTCACACAATGGCTTTTTGCTAATGAGTTTGAACTCACTGGGGCCTCCTGTCAGTCACCCACTATAGAATCTGAGTCAGAAAAACTATAATCCTTACCAAAATAGGAAGTTTTTATGTGTTACACTTGTGCGTAAGCTTAAAGTACACAGCACAAAATAATTAAGACAAATAAAAGAGAAGGAAAATGTAATACTATAACCAAGAGAAAAAAGTCAACAGAAGCAGACCTACAGATGACTCACATGTTGGAAATGGCTGACCAGATCTTAAAATAAGCATTTTAAGCACAAAGACCCAATACGCCGAAGCTGTAGAAAAGTCCTAACTGTGAGAGATTTAAGAGAAAGTACTAAATCTCAGAGAAAAATGAGGTATATCTTGGTAAAGGGGTAGAGGAGTCATGTGCAGTTCTTGAACTTGTATTATCTTTGTACTGCTTCATTAAACCAACACTTTATCTACACAAATTTATAGTGAGATCTATTTCCTTTTTATGAAAAATAAAAATTACAAATTAACATTACAAATTAACAAAAGTAACAAACATTACATAACATTACAAATTAACAAAAGTAATAAGAAGAATGATTTTACAATATCAGCTGTCAGTATCAAAAACCCTGAGGGAGCAGTCTGCTCAGCAAGAGGTATGTATCTTTTTCTGATGCAAAGACAGTTAAGCCACCATTTATTTTAAGCAGCCACCATTTTGTTTGTGTTCACACTCCTGCTGGGACTGTATAGCTTTCTTTAGTACAGATTTACTGCAGCAGAGGGAAAGCAGTTGGCTGAAGGGTCTCACAAATTGCAGCTTATGGCCAACTGGGGGATCTTCTTATGACTAGCTGCAAATTCTCACACATCTGAAAGCTCACCTAAACCATACCCAGTGGTCATTTCTCTGCTGGATACCATAAGCCCACAGATGAAGAAGAAAACAGTTCAGCACAACTAGATAACTTTTATTATTTTCATTAAAATGGACCAAGTCACTGACCCACAGTCTCCAGGTAAGTTTCAAAAGTGGTTTCCAACCTACCAAGGATTCACTCGGGAACCCATTAATGTAAAATTATAAACCTGATTATCACAAAAAGTTACTAAAAGCACATTAAGGGTGACAAAAAATGAAGAAATATTTATTCAATGACTTAATCCATTTTAAATTAAGAGGTTGAGGTCCACAAATGTGATAGCTTGAAATAAGAACTATGTGTGTAAGAAGGCTGGAGGTGAGGGTTGGGGAGTTGGAGATGGGCTTGGGAGGGAAGGTAATCCTGTAAAGGTTGACAGAAGGCGCAGAAGCCTTGGAGGAGTCAAGATGAAGAGTGAGGGGGCCACCGTGGTGGCACAAGGGGTTAAGTCACAGCACTATGAAGCTATCTACAGCCACTGCAGCACCAGTTGGATCCCTGACCAGGGAGATGACCCACATGGCGCAGCAGACCCCTCCTGCCTTGCCCACTGCTCCCCTCAGCAGTGCATTTCAGTACATCTGCCTGTTCCGCTCCCCACTCTGCCCCTGGTAAATCCTTTACCTCCTGAGCCTCTGGCCTGCACCCCAGCTCTTATATACATAAATAAATAAATCTTAAAAAAAAAAGATCAAGAGTGAAATGTTCCTGTATCTGTAAATGACAAGTTATATGGAGCATGAGGCACCTGAGGAAGTTCCCTCTCTAGAGTCTACCTACCCACTTCAGTGGCACAGGTTACCAGCCACCTCACCATCTCCCGCCGTCGCCAATTTAAGGTTGACAGTGTCATTCGCATAACCTATAAAGACAGGATAACAAATGTTTTGGAAGATTATCAGTAGAAAAAGAAAACTCTTCCAAGGTATATACTACTAGGCACAATCCCAACTACCAGGAGGATGAAGAGCCATTTTTGAGTAAAGCTCTGCAGATTAATTTGGATTTATCCATGGCTCCCTGGAGCTGACCTTGTCCCAGCTTGGGAAGCAGGAGGCAAGTTTGGGCTTCCTGACCAGATGCAGCATCCTGGCAAGTCACTCTATCAACCACTTTTCTCACCTACAAAATTAGGCATGGTTCTAGATACCTGAAGCGTCTCGTGAATTAATTCTGTCTAGGAACCCTCTAGTTGGCAGAGATATTTTAAAATAATCATTTCAGTTATTCCTTCAGTCACTGATTGCTCTTATTGATGATTATGAAGATAACCTGCGGTTATCTTTGGCATCATTAGTGGTTAAGATTTTCTTTTCCACATTTTAGTACAAAATTCTAAGATAAAATTATCCATCTCCTCCTACTTCCCCCATTTTTTAAGAGTCAGAACATTTAGGGACAGAATGCTTCTGAAGGCTTGGAAAGGCACTATGGGATACCTTGTAGGATCCTAGAAAGAAGGAAACAATGAGTAAGCTTTCAGTAATCTGCCATTTCCCCAAAATATCTGCCAGAATTCCAAATAACCAGAGAACACATATTAATGGTTCTTTCTGCATCATACCTTTAAGAGGCAAATGATACCAAAAATAAACCAATTAATAAAACCTTGTTTTTTAAAAGAAATTTTTAAAATGCCATTGTATACCTTAAATGCAATCTTCTATACTTATGGAGTATCTATATATAGTATGAGCATTTTCCTGTAATCCAATTCTATAAACTATCACTATAAGGCTAACCTGTAACTTGAAAACTAGATTACTCATCTATGCCCTAGAATGCCCTAATCAGGCATTAATTTAGGTAATTAGAGGATACAATTTCACTGTGTTTTTTAATGGAGAAAAAATTTTTAATACAGAGAAAGTATTAAGAGAGATTCCCTGAGAGAAAAAAATAGAAGCATGAACTTTTCAATTCTTGGTTTATATAGCAATCTTTCTAGAAACTTAAAGAAAGCAAATGTCTATCTGCATGACTAACTCAAACATCCTTGGTGATTATATCCAAGCAGGCTGGCTTGAAAGCTGAAACTGGCCTAATCGTTCATCTTTACCTAGTTTTCTCAGGGTTATATAAAAAGAGCTACAACTGTCCCTCTATTATGAACATGCATGCATCGATAAAAATTCAACCTTCCTCTAAAATATTAATCCTAACAATTGAACCTTTAGTGTTACAAGGTAGCTTTATTTAAGTCTCTTACTAGCAGTAAGTCTCCTTTCATTAAAAAAAAAGTGATGTAAGGCTGTAATTCAGAAATGATTTTCTGATTGAAAGACATACACAGCGCTTCTAAATGCACAGACCCTGCACCTCAGGCAGCAGTCTGGTTCAGAAGGGAATGACCACAGATCTGAAGAACATACTTCCTGAACATATTTTTGCCCTAAAGACTCATTTACCTGCACTAAAAAATCCAATCCAGCAGACAGAAACAACCCTAAGATGGTGCCTTTATTTAGCAGTCCTTGGTGCCCCAGCAAAGACCACCAGTCATGTACCTGCAGGCCCAGCTCCAGAGACACTTTCAAAAGAGTGATGTCTGGCAAACTGTCCATGAGTGTTGCTATTTTAAATGCATCTTGGGCAAGCTTGAAGATGTGGGATGAGGAGTGAATGTTTTTCTGGATGGATTCTAATACTGTTTCCAGCCTCCGAACATCGCCTGTAATGAACAAGGGAAAACCAAACCAAACCAAATCAAAGGAAAAGAAAACAAACAAAAAGTCACACAACCACACACACACACACAAAGGGAGGAAAAAAGGAAACAAAACATAAAACACAAGTTAATTTACCTGAAATGTTCACAGATGGCACAGATGTTACTACTAAGCGTCCCATAGTTACTGCAATGTATATGAATCTCCGCTCCACAAAAGAGATAGACTGAGACACACCCTTGATGACTAAAAGCCCATATGAACCAGAAACAACATGATACAGTAATGACCTCTCAGTTCCTATTTATATATTCTTGGTGAATATTTCAGGGAAAACAAAAATGTACCCGAACTTTTTAATCTGCTTCTGAAATCTCAACCACCACTTACACGGTACGCTAACTAAACCTGAATCTGCCAACAGCAAGTTTAATGATGCAGTTAAATGAGGAAAATGGGAGGCTCAAATGAGTAGCACCTGTTTTGCCTCATAAGCTACATCTAAAGGCTCTCTTACAACCTGACAGTAGCACAAGTGAGAATTTGATAGAAAGCAAAACCCTTATATTTTAAAAAAAAAAAAAAAAAAAAAAAAAAAAAGGCAAATTAACAAAATAATCATGAAGTTCAGGCCAATCCAGTACCTTTGGCTGCAGTTAACATGGTAGATGCCAGCTCACACTGCTGGGATTCTATGTGGCTTAGTGTGAACCAACGAGGATATCGGTTGGGAACAACTGATGCAATGTGGTGAGGGCGGGTGAGGTCTCCCGTTGGAGCAGTAGATTCCAATACTAGTAACCTGTAAAGAAAAGACAAGGCAGGTGGCTCCTAGTTATTATTTGTCCATCCTTTGGCCACGAGGGCTGGCTAGAAGCAAGGGAGTAGGAACATGCCGGGGAAATGGCTCAGGACCTTGGTGAAGGAAAAACTGGTACAGTTACATGCTACTGTCTAGATACCAAAGTCACCTGGTTAATTACCCATTATTATCCAAACCTAAGAGATTTCCTTTCTTTAGCATCATTTGGAAAGCTGCGATATTCAGAGAAATAAAGATATGTAACAATGAAGAAGTCTAAAATGTAAGTCTTGATCTTTGTGTATAAAATTTTTGAGGGGATGGGAGAGGGAGGCAGGTGGGATATGGGCACGGGTGGTTTGATGGAGAAAAGAGAGTATTACTATTAAAAATGTTTTGAATATTATCACTCATTAAAAAATAAAAATCAACAAAGTGATTAAATAAGGTGAATATTTAAAACTGAGATTAAAACAGGAATCAGAGAAAAGTGAGATGAATAAGCTAAAGTTATTAAACCACAAAATAAGAGGGGAAGTAAAACAACTGACTTCCTTTCCATAGTCAAAAGTTCTGCAGAATTAGTTCCCTATTACTTCAGAAATTGGTGGTTAAAATATGTTCTAAACAAATCATATCTGCAATGAAAGCAAATGATTCAAGTATTTGTCCCTTGAAAGTCTTGCATAAATTCAGAATGACTTCTGATTTCAAACTATCTATCTTTGATTAAGAACACACTGACAAATAAAGAACTACTGAAAACAAAGCACATGTTTAGGGATCTCTTCCAAATAAAAGTACAAAGAGATCTGCAGAGGAGGTACAAGTAAAATAATTCTTTTCCAGTCATCAAAATACTGAGCTTCATTCCAGTCCCCCAGTGTTAGGGGCCATGGATTAAGAGCTAGGGACCAAGAGGAGTTAGCAAGGTCATGGTGTGATGCTGGCTTTGGGGACCCCACCCAAGGGCAGTTATTGCTCCTGGAAGCCAATGTCTCACTCTCTTTTCCTGTTATGTAGACACAATGAGATGTACATATTAAAAGGTGTCAAGGTAGGCAGTTAAGAAATAAGAGTTGCTGTTTAGCTTTTTAAAACTCCAGAATGTGGGCTTCCCTGTTGGTGCAGCGGGTTGGGTGCAGCACTGTGAAGCTGTCCGCAGCCTCTGCAGCGCGGGTTCGATTCCCAGCCAGCTGGGAAAGATACCCACATGGCGTGGCAGACCTTTCCTGTGGCACCCGCTGCTCCCCTCAGCAGTGTACTTCGGTCCGTCTGCCTGTTCTGCTCCCCGCTCTGTCTCTGGTGAGTCCTCTCACCCTCCCGCACCTCTGGCCTGTACCCCAGCTGTTGTATAATTAAAAAATAAATCCAGAATGTCCCTATCCTCACAGGCAGATCTTTGCAGAGCTGCTGTAGAGAAAACTAGTCAATCAATATCCCTGAAAAGATGAGCAAATGAGTGCTGAAGATGCCCTTCCCGGTCCCTTCCCCTACCCCACACTTCCAAAAGGACTAAGAAATAAGCAACCTACATGCCTCTTTTCTTTCATGCTCCCCTGACTGCCCTGAGATGCTCTATTAGGTCATATTACCTCCCTTCCGCAGCAGTCCTTTTGGCTGAGGTGGTAGAGGTGGAAAACAAATCCCCTGTACCCAGCTAACACCATCCACCCAACTCCCATGAAGAAACTGCCTTGGCAAAGATAGTGAGTTTCTGAGTGTTAGGAAAGCAAGTCTTTCCACCTGACAGATACCTTCACATGCCAGAACCACAGAGCCAACTTATGCTATTTTATCCTTACACTTTACAGTGGTTGTAGCAACAGCATCTGGTGGCATCATTACATTAGCATCCTTCCTTTTAAAATAGGAGAACTCTTAGAATTTTTAAGTATAGAATAAGCATCTGTCTTCACATGACAGCTTCCATTTCAGCTTCCCAAATGGGAACAGGAACTCCTAAACTTGTGCTCTACAGCAAAAACCAAATTTGGTGGAGAATTTTTGTCTATATTATTAATTTATTTTTATTTTAGAGACTAGACAAGAACGAACTTATAAGGTTTTTCTCATAGTTAATGAGATTCCATGTTGCCAAGGAAAGCAAGTCAAATGGAAGGATGTTTGCCTCAAAACACTCTGTCACACAATTACAGGTATACAACCCCCTCATCACTGGATACAAAAGAGGAGGTCTCCTGAGATATAAGCCACACATACAAGCAAAGTTTTGTTTCTGAATCTACTATACTGGTTGCAGACATAGAATCAATCTTTGATGAGAACCTTCTAATGGGATTGAACTATTCCCCAGCACCTCAAGCTTTTAGGTTTGTACATGGTTTGTTTTCAGTAACTATAATGAGGCCTGTACTTTGCATTAGCAACATGGGAGCGTTCTGTTAATTTTTTTAAAAAAGGGAAAAGCTCCTATTTTAAGGTGGTAATCCTTTTCGGGTCCTTAGAGAATATAAGTCACATGTGAGATTGAAAAAATATAATCTTCAAGGTATTAGAAAATACCTAGAAAGAATTAATAAAATTTGGTGAACTTTAAAAAAAAGTGAAAACAGAAAGGCCAGTGGTAGAAAACAACATATTGAAATGGAGGGAATGAGGAAGGCTAGAGCAGACAGAAGTGAGGGGAGCAGATCCTGAAAGACCCATGGGGGTGAAGTCTTCAGTGCCAGATACAGGTCCCATCCTCTCTCATTCTTAAGCTGAGCACAGGGGTGCTTCAGTGATACAGTGGACTCCTGCACTGCAAGGAATTATAGCATGAGTGAAGGAGCCTCTCAGTCATATTCAAACAAGTATATTAATTATCTACCAATGTTTCCCCCAAATTAAGTTTTTTAGGAAGTTTTCAACTATGGCTGACTTGTGATTAAATCTGGACTGAACTTGTTCTCTACCAGCAGATTCTAGCTTCAGGGAGAAGATGGAGAAAGCCACGGTAAGTAGCTAAGCATACAATTTACCCCTTACTCAAAAACAAAAGGAAAAGAAGCCATGAACTACCACCACAATAGTCCAAAAAGCAAAAATAATAGTTTAGCTCTTCTGATACCTACAAGACACATGAGTGAGAAGTCAGTTAACAGCCATTTTTCCCAGTGAGGAATCTGAATGCCCCTGCCTGTCTGGGCTGTGAATACGTACCGCATTGCTCTCAGTGCAATTTTGTATGCCAATTCAGCATCATGAGGTAGGAGGGAGGTGAAGAGATACTTGGCAAATGTGTGCATTGGAACACTCTCCCGATGGATTATTTCGCCTAAACCACTATATGGTCCAGCTGTGGGAAGAAGACACACATTTTACATTCCTTAAAAAAGGTCTAACTTCTTGTTAAGTGTATTTAAAAAAACTTTTATGTAAAGTTATATATACAAGCTAATCAAGTTAATACTAAAGGGCATAATAGAAAGGGATACAATTTTTTTGGGTCAAAAACGATTCTAAAGGGTAGCGTTATTCAATACTGAATTCACTTGAGGAACAACCCCTCAACTATAGGACAGTTAAAATGAGAATCAGAGAGCTAAGGGAAAGAACTTTTCACGTTATAAATGCTTCAGAGAAAGGAATTCTTCGAAGCATAAAACCTCACTGAATTTAAGAAACATCCTCTTTCAATGTGTGACAGATGAGCATCCAGATTTTCAAATGCACAGATGACTCTGCAGCTTAACTTTGGAACCTTTTCCTGGGCCCAAGCAGGTTTCCAGAAAAGAGTGTTCTGCCTTAATGGGGAGCAACGGGCAGGGATTCTGAATCACAAATCCCAATACAAAAATTTTATTGTTGCTTGTAATAAGAAGAAGGTGGTTAGAAGAATTGATTCTCACCATAGGCAAAAGAAAAAAAAGAAATCAACTGGAATTCTACCATTTTTGGGGTTCCAAAAGACCAATTTTAAAAGCAAAATTACATTTAAGCTATCAAAATTCATTTCTTAGTTAAGTTACGACAGGCATCGTGGCAGTGCTGACTTCCCCAGTGTGCTCTCTGAATGCCGCCCTTAGAGGAGCAATATAGACTTCTAAAATAAATTGTGAAAGGAAACCACAATGGTTAGTTCAGCTACTTTCCACTTAGGTACTTTGAGGTTTAGTTACTGTAAAAGTGTTTAATAAATTAGTTTCCATGTCACCTTTGGGTAACATCTATTTCATGATTTCTAAAATTATGAACCATGACACTACTACTCAAAGGACATGATACATTTGTTTTCCATGAGAAAACCCAGTCTGGCAATAAGCTCAGAATGCACGAAACACATTTCAGAAGCACTGGTGAGAGATGTACTGAACCGAGCACTGGGAAAGAGCATGATACATTCTAGATCATTTTAACAAAGGTTAGTTTTCAATTTCATTGTTTTATTTTTAGGCCAGTATTTTAAATTGTTCATTATTTAAGTACTTTGCAAACCATATAAATTACTTCAATTTTTTCACCTAGGCAAACTAAAATCCATCCTAAGATTTCTGATTTTCCTAAATCTATTCAACTTTTCTTCTTAAGACATCTAAATATGTTTTAGTGATCTCGGGTTCTTCAAAGTTGACAAAGCATTATAGCCCTGGCTTTAGCTTCATATAATGAAGTCAAATTATTTGTTTCTACTGTGGACTGAATGTTTTCAGTCCTGCTCCAATTCGTATGTTGATACCCCAGCACCCCAGCTCCCAGAGTGACTGTATTTGGAGATAGGGCCTTTATGGAGATAATAAAGTTTAAATGAAGTCACAGGGTAGGGCCCTGATATTTAAGATTAAATCATGTCCTTATAAGAACAGACATCAGACAGCTTTTTTCACTCTCTCTGCTTCTGAGGGCACAGGGAGAAGGCAGCCATCTCCAAGACCAGGAGAGCCTCTCACCAGAAATTGAACCACGAGCACTTTGACTTTGGACATCCCAGAGACTTCACAACTGTGAGAACTAAATTTTTGTTGTTTAGGCACTAGGTTGTTGTATTTTCGTTAAGGCGGCCTAAATATACTAAGACACCAACTCTATCTCTTTTACTTAATGACTAATTATAGAAAATTTGTAGGTTATCCATCTTCATTTCTCCTCTATTTTCTTCCAATGTTTCCCTAAAACCATCAAATTACCTTTTTGTCTATGCAGAGAAAACCAGGATACACAATCAACACTTCACTATGATGTCTCTCAACAAGTGAAACATTCAGTCAGGTATCACAGAACTAATTTTGGGATTAATAACCAATATAATCCTTGAACCCAAGTGTACTAAAATAATGAAAAACTGAAATTTGTACAAAGTTCCCCAGAAATGCCCTTCCAATAGCCAATTATCCAATACACCAATGATTATGTCCAGAAGAGATGAACACTCAGCAACACTGCAGTGTTACTGCTTCCTCTTTTTCATATATCTGAGTGGGCTGACTAATTTGCACATGCAATCAAAGAGTGCAAATGCGCAAAGGACTCTGTGCCCCAGTGCAGTTAACTCAGTAATGGAGCACTTATCTTCCGGAGTTTATTGAAACTGGTCCTCCAGCTTCCCCTTGGACTGCTTCCTGTCCTATGCCGCCCTCTCTTCACAGGCCTAGCAGGGCCAGGAAAGGAGAGGAGGCTGCGATAAGTCAATAGTGCTGCTTTATCAGGCAGTCATAAAAATGTCTAATGAGGAGGGATACACTAAGACTACATTAAAAAAAAGACTAAGGCCAAGTAAAAAAATTTCATGAGTAATGAATATGGAGACAAGTAAAAAAGTGTATTATAAACAAAGTGTCAAACTATCAACTTTGAAAAATACTCTCCCTATCCTTGAGTGTAACAGAAATCAAAAGTTAGTTACCCATAGCCAGTGACAGTTAAGAAAAAGCTTGCAGTTAATGATATCGGTTATAGTAAAAGGAATTATATAGGGGGAAACGAAAAGAAAACAATAATGAAATAATCAAGATCACTTGAAATTTGCCCAGACAGGCCATTTTTATCTTCAGAAAAAAAAAATGAACTTCAATACACTGCTTCAAATAACTACAATGAGTTTTAACCAAAATCAAGCATATTATTTGAAAAATTTTCCCTTTGAAGTGCATTTTCTAAAACACATAAATATATAATTGATGAAAATATTTTCTTTCAAATAGGTCTTAGTTTCAAACAAAAAAAGATATTTTGAAATGCTATTTTCTTCAAATCCCTTCTTTATATATAACAGTTCTGAATATAAGATGATACAGCACTTTATGAACCTATCAATCACAGAGAATCCCACAGTAACGCACATGTACTTGAGGGATAGGGGCAAGCTTATCAATTAGATATCACCTAAATTTGAACATTCACTCAGGTTACACTACACTAATCACCCTTACTCTTTTCAAGAAAAAAAAAATTATTTGTAATGCCAGTCAAAATTTGTTAGGACTCTTAGATTCTGAACCTTGTATAAAGAAAAATATTCCACTTTGCCTTAGAGAGTCTATGAAACTTGTAACTTGGTGAGTCTATGCCTAATGAATTCTCTGAAATAATTAGCACAGTGGAAATTCACTCTTACAGCCTTGAGTCCTTTGTTAGTGTGAGCAAATGACATAGTCAAGATCCAGATGTCAGCCAATAATTTGGAGGAATACCAACCAATTTCCATTTTATTATTTAACTGACCTAACAAGTAGGAATAAAGTTACTAGCAGTAATAACTCACTAAATATCAAACCTACATCTATCTCAGGAACAATACAACCTAAATAAGGCAGTCCTTTTCAAAACTTGTTCAAAAATGGGGTTCATTTCTAACAGCTGCTCGTATTAGAGTGACCCAGGACATGACTACCTAAGTGAAATGATACAAAACTAAACAGCTACATTTTTTAATTAAAGTGATAAAAAATTAAGTAACAATTTTTTGGATAGTGAACATGCCTATGATGCTAAGTGACCATACCAATCAGGGTAACGATCATATTAAATGCATTTGAAAGTATCCCAACTGAAGAACACTTAGCAACTAAATAAAGTTGGCTAATAAGTGGAAAACTTCTTTATTCAAACTACCTTCTAATAGGAAGACTGCTTGCTTGCGAAAAATTTTCACCAGTGTGTCATCCAATTCAATTTCCTGAAGCTTGGAAATGAGCTGCTCCTCATTTCGGCAAACTTTCTCTTGTGTGTACAGCCCATCAGGCATGATACGCTGCTGTCCCAGTCCTATCAGGGCTACTTCCACAGCTAGCGTTAAATAGGATTCCCCTTCTTCTAAGAATTTGTGTGCAGGTAGATGCTGGTATTCCAGAGACTTGCACTGTCCCATGTTCTCTGTAAAATGTCACACACACACACAAAATTCAGAGTTACGAAATTACTTTTGCAGGTATTCTGACATGTAAAGATATTTTTCTTACCCAGTTCCTTTAAATGAATATTTAAAGGCCAGAAAATATGTTCCTTAGGTTAAAGTGAAAAGTTTTCAACATTAAAAAAAAAAATCCCACAAATGACTTTGTGTGTTTTGAGGGATAAGATACTGCAATTAGTTCTCGCCCATTGAAAATGAACCACAATGAAAACTATAAATCTAAAAAGACATTAAGAATACTTAAAGATTGAAATTGTTTTAATTAAACAGAATAAAATTATACGATGATTGCAATAATTTCCAATTTTTAAAGCCTGGTATTAAAAAAAGCTTCCATACTTTTATTACAATGTTGAAATTTATAATGACAATAGTGGAGAATATAATATACATAATTCAATTTCAAGGTCCTTCTTGTTATCCAATAGACATCAGTCATCACAAGAGGAATGATTTTTTTGAGCAGTCTCTTGTCTCTATTTAGAAATTTGAAAAACTTCAATACCAACCACCTAATCAAGAAAATTCAGTGTCATAACTTTCACCTCCTGACAGAATTTGGGTCACCCATATATAATCTATGAAGGCAACCACCACAGGAGAAAGGATTGAGGGGCACAATAACTAACCCCCCCTGAGCTTACACTGTCACAGGAGCAGTAGAAGAAACAATCTCCTTCTCCTTCCCAAGCTTTGCAAACTGCCCTTGACAGTCATTTTTAGGGATAATTGTTAAGTCTCAAGAGGCCAAAGGGAAATCTCAAAACTGCTTGAAAGGTATGTATGATGCAAAAATTTTAATGACATTTAGTACTTAAAGTCGACTAAGTATTTTATTTAAATAAATAAGTCATTTCAATGGAAAGACAAATTAAAAAAGCAACTAAACTATATTTCTACTTCTAAATGCTATATGACACACTTTATTTTATGTCTTTATACCGGAAAACAGTCATAACTGTAAATAAATTCTTAGATGCAGAATCACTGACTACATGGGTTGAATATTTCTAAGGTTCCTGACACAAACTGCCAGCTATGGACACTAAGACTTTTCCTAGTTTATAGAAGTCTGTCTAAAAAGCATGAGGGTGCTCATTTCTTTGCTCTTCTGCTAACTATGGGTACTGTTAACCATATGGATTCATGAAACAAACTGAAGAGAAACAACAACAGATGCTACTTGGAGTTTAGAAAAAAGCACATGAGACAGAAGTCAATGTTTTTTTACCTGTAAAATCTGAGAACCCAGAGAAGCTTTCATCATCAACATGACAGGCTTCCATAAGGCTGCTGAAAAGAGTACCCACAGGGTCCAGGGGGTGTCCAACCCAGCCTTCCAGATTGGTTATCGATGTGATGCTTTTATGGGGTAGCTCTGTGCAAGAAAAGGGAATTGAGAGATGATGGAGTCAGGGAGAGAAAGTCTGCACCATTTAATAGTGGCATTCTGACAAATTAGTATTAAATTCCATTGAAAATTCCTCTCTAATTAAAAAACAAAGGTATAATTCCCAACTTGTGAAACTATTTTGAGTTCCAAAGGTTCATTTGTAAATATATATAAATGGTACTAACTTCCCAAGACAGTTCCCAAAATCTATTTAATTCATGGTATTAAGGGTATTCATTCAGGGTATTGAGTTAACATTACTACTTACACCGAAAATTTTGAGAAACAAAGCTTACTTCATTTTCTACAAAGTCATATTTTATGACTCTGCCCAGTTTTCTTAATTGTAGGTCAAGGTGTAACATTGTAGATGTAAAAACAAAAACAACATTTGGAAAGTCTTTTGTAACATAATACAGCTACCAGAGACTAGGAAATCTTTGTTGGGGTGAGGAAGGCTGGGGAAGAGACTGCCTAGCACAGAGCAGGATCCTGCCTTGTACTTTTCACACAGACACTTTCTGGGCACACAGAAGTACAGAATAAATCTATGTCATTAGTCTAAGGGGACCTGTTGAGTGGAAGCCAGCATGTGTTATGTGAATAGGGAGTGACCTTCCTTGGGAGAGGATGGGTGGTTTAAAAACAAAAAAAGCCTGAAATAACTTTTCAGTGCTTACAGATAAAACAAATTAAGTCTAAGAATGGCCTCAAGGATAATCAGAGGAGTCTAATTTAACATACACTCTAACTACATGAACTTTTTTAAACTTTGTATTTCTTAAATATTATAACATTTTTATTGAATACAATTAAAACAACATTTCTTAGTAAAGTGATGATAATTTCAAAAAATCAGATATGCATGAGTAAGCTCTCTTTTTGCAAAATAAAAGTGCTTCACTCTCTTTGCCTGATTGTCCTTATACTTTTCAGAAGCAAGCAATTTTTGGCCTTCAGTGTATATGTTTGAGGGGAAGGGGAACTTCACAAAAATTTTTCACACGATTCTAGGAACATATTTTGCAAGCACATTTGACTGTCAGTGATGATATGAAGAATATGTAGAAGTGGGAAAAATAATGATTCTCAGAAATATCACATTCCAAGCCTATGGAAACCCCCCCTTTATTTAGTTCAGATAGTAACTTTGGACTTTTCTTTCATCATATAAATGGTAATGTTAGTTAACATTAGTATTTCCAATATCGATAATATTACAAGTTGAACACTAGCTGCAACCTCCAGCCAATTTCAACAACTTTTGATAATTAATACAATTAAAAAGTTTTAGAGTGCTTACATACTGTGCCAGGCCCTGTTCTAAGTGCTTTATTAGACTTAACTAGCCTAACCTTCTCAACAACTCTAAGCAATAGGTACTCCACTGAGCCCCATTACACAGATGAGGAATCTAAATCACAGAGAGGTCAAGTCACTGTCTAAGGTCTCCCTACTGGTACCTATTGCTAAGGTTCAAACACAGGCAGTCTACCTACACATAGGCTTTACTATTAAGAATTAAAAAGCACTTTCACAAAATAAGGTATCTGGCTACTTGCATTTTAGATAATTCAGATATACTAAATTAGTTATTCACACAATTAAAAAAAAAACCCTCCTCCTTAGAACACAAACTAATTTAAGATTGTTTTTAATCTTACTTTCTTACAATAGTCAACCAGGGAAGAAAACACACATCTAAAATTTCTCACAGATCAGCTAAGAGGTTTTTCACTGGGTGAATAAAGCCACCTTAGCCTTCTAATTTTAAAAGCCCTTTCTTCCCCAAAGAGCACAAAATCTAATGATGTCATCACCAAGAATTTCATTCCAAAGGAAACAAACTCCTTCACATTCACCTTTTTTTTGAGTTCGGAACAATTCCAACTGTTTCTGTTGTTGTCGTCTTAATGTGTTCACAATAGCTATTGCTAGTCTCAGTGCTTCTCGGGGATACCCATGAGAACGTAATGCATCCACTCTTGCACAGGCTGTAGGAACATGTTCTAAAACAAAAAGTTAAGGGGGAAAGTTGTCATTGTCAGATATATCTAGAAAAACAGGATTTAATAGTAAGATGTTTTTCCCCTTAATACTATTAAAAAGACACAAGAAACCATTTTTAAATTCAGATTTGAATGAAAAACTCAGCTCCTATTGCCAAGCATTCATCCATCTCCATTGAATCCCTCAACTCTTCTACCACCCACTCCAATAACGCTATAGAAACTAAACAAAGAAGTAAGTCATGGAAATGTCTTTCCGGTTTGGCCACTTACCATGCCAGAGGGGCCACCCGCGGGAGTCAAAGAGGGAGTTTTCAGTGTCGTCATGGTAACAGTAGTTGGTGTATAGGTCACTGCTGATAATGTGCTGCAAGTGGCTATCCTGCCAGTGGAGATCGCATGCCTCAATAGCTCGGGTGAACACTGTCCGGTGTGGCCTGTTCGATGAATCTGTTTTTTCCACAATTCAGAAAGCCGTGTCAGCTATTATTCACATGTAAATAAATCAGTCATACCATTTTGTGGCCAGATGTTCACGAACACACCCACACACATTGTCCTGCACCCCCTAAGCAGAAGGATGAAGGGTGAATACTCTCATGTCCTAATACTGGGAGGCAAGTCAGCCCAAGAGCCACCATTCAGTCACTTGATTTATCAAACACAAACACTCTGCAGCCATCAAAGCTAAGGTTAAAGGCATCCTGCAAAAAGAATGTCAAGTCTAGTTTCCATGCCAAATACACTCAACAGAGGCACTCGGCACAAAAAAAAAAAAAAAAAAAAAAAAAAAATTGCATGAGAACTCACTGCTCCCCACTTCTGAGGTGCTGTGCTGGGCTGCCCTGATGGAATCAACAGCTCTCACAAACACTATGCAAGAGATGGGACACCAGCCATGGAACCTTTCAGGAAGATGCAGTCAGCCTTTAAAGATATGCATAAGGGTTGTGCTTTTGGTTGTATTTTTTAACTATATTGTGCGGTTTTGCACAATTAAAACTATTATGCTTCTTGGGATATAAACTGATTAAATGCCACTTTATATCCCAAAGGGCATAAATGCATATATTTAACATTTCACAAAGCCACACAACATAGCTACAAAACAAACCAGCGCACTTACCTTGCCCCTACAGGCTGCCTCCTGACTCCTGTGCAGGTTCCATGACTGGTGTGACGTCCCCAGCATAGTGTATGCCGGGGTATCACAAAAGAGCAGAAGCATACACTCCGAAGAGGGTTCAAGTTTCAGGACCTGACGGAGAAAAGAAATGTTTGGGGAATAAAGGATATTCTCACCCCAACTCCTTGGATTATTCAGTTCCTCTGGGTAACATAGTTCAAACTCTACCTGCATTCCCACCCATTAGGTCCCCGCTCCAGACTTACCATCAACTGTGGCACAAACCTCAGTAAGCCTCAAATGAAAAGGTAACAAACTATGTGTACTTGACTTAGATCAAGTAACACCTCCCCCTAACTGTTCTGAGGCTTGACTAAATGGGTAGTATAATCTGGAGCTTCCTTTGATAAAGTTTCATGCTCCTGCCTCTGGAGCTTTGACTAACAAGCACAGACATATAAAGACAATTGTAAAACTCAGAAACAACTGAATGCAGAAGGAAAGCTCTGGGAACTCATCTAGGCCAACCTATCTTTTGCTGATGGGACTAAAAATTAAGAGAAATAAAGTGACTTGCCAAGGTCACACAGCCAGGCAATGGCAGTCAATATAGAAACACAGCTATCCTTACTCCAAATTCAGCTAATTCAGCTGCTCTGAAAGTCTTCTAACAGATTTTTAACAGAGAGATATTTCTTCAACCTTGTCTCTTGTCAACGTAGATAGCTCTATCTGAATGGGAGATGTAGCAAAATGCATGGATAAAAGATAATTGGGGGGCATAAATACTGATATATCTGTTATGGCCCCTGCCCAGATTCCTTGCTACTTGCTAACAGACAGAGGTATGCTTCACAAATGGGAAGAGAGGGTCCTACTTGGTTTTTTTTTTTTTTAAAGATTTATTTAGTTATGCATACAAGAACTGGGGTGTAAGCCAGAGGTGCAGGGGAGGTAAGAGGATTTACCAGAGACAGAGTAGGGGAACAGAACAGGCAGATCTACTGAAGTGCACTCTGAGGAAAGCAGCAGGCAAGACAGGAGAGGTCTGCTGTGCCATGTGGACAGCTCCCTGGCCCGGGATCCAACTCTGCTGCAGAGGTTGGTGATAGCTTGACAGCGCTGTCTTTAACCCTTGCGCCACCAGGGAGGCCCAAGAGGGCCCTACATTTAAGGGTCTTTTGAATATACCAGGGTTTTTCGATGAGCAGAATAAATATACCCTAATGCAACAAGAAAATGGTTCCATTTTTTGATCAAATAGTCCAAAGTCCAAATCTCAAATATTTTTAAATGGCTTTGTCTCTTCAATTATTTTGCTCAAATCATAGAAACAGAATTAAACACTTAGACAATGCTGAAACAGTATTACGCATATATTAAAAAAATTAGGTCTACCTGTTGACTTTACTCACTGATGTACCAATAATAAAAGCAAGAAGAATATGATTCCTTTTTTTCTTTCTTTTTTTTTTTTTTTGTGGGACCCTCGCCAGCGGCCGGGGAATGAACCGGTGCTGCAGAGGCTGCGGGCAGCCTCGCAGCCCAGCACTCAACCGCTGCGCCACCAGGGAAGGCCCAGAATATGATTCTTTTTTAAAAAATTAAAACCCTAACTTTTCACATGTTTGTATGTAAATATATGAGCACACAGAGAGGTATAGGACATACACCAGGACTTTAATAGTGGTTGGCTCCAAGTAGCCAATAAAACCAATCATAACAGAAAAAGTCAAAATGCTAATGAAATAACATTTAAATGAAAATGAAAGATATAGAGTTCTATTGTAACAGGGCAACAAAGAACTGATTATGCACACAAAGACTAAAAAGATACGTAAACTAAAAGTTGGTCTGATTAGGTCAAATTTTGTTCCATTTTAATCTTAGATGTCTGTTTTTGGTTTTTGCATAATATGGAAATGAGAAACATCTTAACCAAATTTTTAAATGATAAATACACAAATGCATAAGAAATTTTTAATAAAGTAGACATAACATTAATACATGCAGGCAAAAAAAAATTTGGGAAATTTCAGAAAAGCAAAAAAGGGAGTGAGTTCTTTTATTAAAAATAAAAATCATAAAACTATCATTCTGGTATCATTTAAAGAAAATTACTCTTTTAAAGTGTGTGGACTCAAATATGTGGTTGTTAATTGATGATAACAAATAATCTAAGCTAAGACAGAGCCTGATTTGCCCTTTAAATTTACTCAAATGTGTCAGCTTGTGTAATTCTGCCCGTGGTCCTTCACACATGCTCACTGTTCAGCTCCAACCTCTGTTCTACTCTGCGATGGACACCACACGCTATCTCATGAGTAAGTCCCCTGCACCCTCCAAAAAAGCATTGCAGGCTGAGCACCAGAGGCCCACTGCCAAGGTGTCCCTTCTGACAGGCCCTCAGGAGAATGTGGGTGCTCTGGTAAAAGCAGGAGCCTTGGTGCCTTTAGGCACAACAACTATCAATACTGCCATCAGAAGCTAGGGCCTGACTTCAGATCCCTGGGACAAACCATAAATATTCATCTGGAAGCTGGACCACTTCTACCTGCTTCTTAAATCTATGGAATAGTCATGTTTAACCAAGAGGAACATAAACCAAAGGGAAAGTAAAAGTGTTAAAACGTTATAATGGTAGTGCAAGAAAGCAGACAGGGAATAAAACAGAGAAAGCTGCAAACATAATTAAGTAGAAGGGGATTAAAGATAGTGCTGATATAGATCAGGCATACTCTTTCCTAGCAATGGAGGAGAATAAATGTTGAATTACCGGACTTGAAAACACTGAGCTACTGGAAAAAATTTGTGCTACGAGGGGTAAATTTATTTTCTTTTGTTATTAAATAAAAGCATCATGGGCAATAAAGATATGACAGATTTCAAATACTGAATTCCCAAGGCAAATATCTCTAGACAAAGCAGAGCCAGACAATCATCTTTCCCAAGTCCTAAACCTGCTTTTTGATTGGACAAGTCCCAAAGGAGTATGATTTATCATTTTCTTTCTCTGTAGAGACTGAAAACACTATGTGAACATCACATTCAAACTCAGCACATTGTCCAGCTCTTTCTAGTAGCACCAGTTCTATACGGGGCTAGGATATAGAAAACAACAATCTAGATTCTGGATCCTATCTTGAATCTACCACAATTTAAAAAGTCTTTCAAGCTTTCCTATAATAAACAAATCATGCAAATAGTGACATGAACTCATGAATGAAATTTTTATATGCAAGAATTAATTAAACTACTTTAGAAATCTGGTTCTGAAAAAGGAGAGAAAATTCCATAGGAGCAAAATGGTAGATATGGGGGTGGAGGGGATTCAGAAAAGCAAAAAAGGGAGTCAGGTGGGGGGGAGTTTTTCTTAGTTGTCCCTAGGATTGGAGGGAACTATTAACTTAAGGGTACATAGGAACAAGTATGCTAGACAATCTTTCACAATAAAGAGTTCTTCCCCTAGTCCAAATACCAATAGCATCCTATATCCCTCTAGCCCAGTCATAAAACATTTACATTTTTAATTCTAAGAATTTTTTAACTGATTAAATTCACAGTAGCCCAAACATGAATTGATGGAGATAAAAACACACAGCTCCCCAAAACACCCATATGTCTCTCAATATTTTGTTTCATAAAATATATTACACTACATTCTATTCCATGATATTTTAAGTTAGATAAATATTCAAACTAAGTAACAGGCAAATTTTAACATACACTTATTATATTCATCTGTATTATGACGGATATGGGGAAAAACATATAACTCTCAAGTAAAAATTAACACACACAATCTCATTCACAAAATATATAAAGTTCTTGAGGTACAGTAATTTCTTCCATGAGTAAAACAACTTTCCCACATATATTGGAACTACTATTAGAAACATTTATGTACAATTAGGCAGATACAAATAAACAGAATATCACTAAGGACTCACCTTGATTGGCATTTGCACCCTGAGGCAGAGCATTGGTTAAATTGGGTAATTCACTGCCATGATTCCCATCTTCCCATGGACAGACATCAACACTGTTCCACTTTTTCAACTGTTTTAGCCAACTGGCCTTCTGTTCCAGCTTGCAGTGGGGGTTTAAAACTATACACATCCACAGAGCACCTAATTTCAAGAAAGAGAAGGAAGTAAATTTTTAAAAATTATGAAAATGTCTAATTCTAATCGCTGATGAATTACAAACCAAAATTATAAACCACTTCAAAATGGATCCAAATTTGCCATTTTTCTAAATAAAATCTCTCCTTAATTCAGGTCACAAGTCACATACAGAGTTCAATGTAAGAAGGATGAGAGTCTAAACTTGAATCAAAGATCTAAATAAACACTGTCACACATTAAAAATGAAAGATATAATCCCATTCCTAGTTATGTGACATTTCAGACAGAATAAAAAATATATAAAGAACATGATCCTTAAAGCCTAATTTGCTACTTTAATTTATATACAGATTTCAAAAACCTCTTTAAATGTTTTTCTGTTCAAAAACAGCTTTCTTTTAAGATTACCTTTTCACAATAAAATCAAAAAGGCATATAATGATTACAAATAAAGAATTGCCTGGTCTCCTTATAAACATTAATTAGTATGCATACCTATATCAGTTAGTATGCATATTTATTAATACTTATCAATAGAACTTTGAAAAATAAAATTCACTTAACATACTTCCTTAAATGATTTAACCAGGAATTAGTCTTTACATGTAAAGAAAAGACAAAAAATTTGTGTCTATGTGAATAAAATCACAAAACATTTTAATCAAAAATTTCATTTGCTTTTCAAAGGAAAGGCATAACAAATTTATAAGGCTTAACTTATAATTTGAATAATTCAGCTTTTGAGAAATGACAAATGTATTATTTCTTTTTATGTTCTTTAGAGGTAGTTAATTCAAGCAAATATTTCACTTGTTTTAAAAGTTTTACATTTCACTTTACTATTTTCAAAACAAGACAGATACCAGTACTTCAAAACCATTCACAACACCTTCACTTTGAAAAGATATGTGTATTTTAATCTGGTGTGTTAGCCAAGAGAATAATAAAAGAAAGAATGATCATTGTTTGTTTTATTTGTCCAAACAAGATGCCTTACATTCTTCTACATTTAAATGAGCAAGCTTCTTCAACTAGAGAATCTGATATTTTAAATACCAAGTAACTTAAACACCTGAAACATATAATATTTTAAAGCCATGTTGCTTCAATGAAAGAAAATATTTTTAAAACTCAAATAACTTAAACCAGCAGAAAATAAAAATGGTCAGAACTTATCTGTGCCACAGATATTTACAATTTACTTTTCAGTAGTTTTAAATGCCAATTAAAAACCTAACATGATCCATCAAGATGGAGTAAACACACCATAGTTTGTGTTTCCCAATGACTACAACTAAAAACTCTGGACTAAATACAAAAAGTAGTAACCTGAACACTGAAAATAAACAAGAGCAAGCAGATAGAGGAAAAGAACTGAAGAACGTAGGCATGTGGAGGTGATTTCCTGTTACCTTTTCTAGTTTGAACATAATTTTAAATCCCATTCAAGGAACTCTGGAGAAGGTACAGCTAACAAGAACCTGAAAGAAACCTCACCTAGCTGGTCAGGACAAGAAAAGGGACCCCTCCCCCCGACTCATGCACACTCAAAGCTGGAAGATGAGGATACCTGAATTCTGTGTACAAATGGACACAAGTCCTGAGCATATCTCATATGCATGAGACAGACCCCAGACAGCACAGCAAAGCTTTGAAAACTTTAACTGACACTGTCATCCAAAGAAGGTGAAACAGAACTCAGAGTCTGAATCTACCCTCTTTGGTTGTATGCCTTCAAGAAAATGAAAACATTCTCCAGAAGACTTTAATAGGACCCAGAGTCTCACAACACTGTCTTCAAAATGCCCAAGATCCAAAATTAGTTGGCTTACAAACAGGAAAATGTGATCGATTCTCCAGGGAACAAACAATCAACAGATGCCAACAAAGATGAACCAGATGTTAGAATTACCAGTCGGAGACTTTATAGCAACGATTATAACTACGTTCCATGAGAGGAAGGCAAACACTACTGGAAGAAGTGTAATATAAACTATAAAAAACTAAATGGAGATTTCAGAATTGAAAAAACTATACCTAAAAAAAAAAAATCAGTGGGTGTTATCAATAACAGAACGGGTATGATATAGGAAAAAGTTCATTTACTTGAAGATAAATATTATCTCTTCTGAAGAATGGAAAACAATCAAAAGAAAACCAAGAATCTTAAAGACAGGTGGGAAAATTTCAAAAAGTCTAATATTTGTGCCATTGGAGACCCTAAAGAAAACATGATATATGTAATAAAATTTTAGAAGTAATGAAAGAAAACTTACCAAATTTGAAGATATTAATTTAGAGAATGAAGAAGCTCAGCTAACCACAAAGGGTAACAAAGAAAACCATGCCCAAATACTACAATCAAATCAGTGGAAGTCAAAGAGATTAAAAAAAAAATATTGAAAGCAATCAAAGAAAAATGACTCAAAAAATTAGAGACGTCTCATCAGAAATCAAAGGACAGATGACAGTGGAACAATATCTTTGAAGTGTTAAAAGTGGCAATCCAGAATTTTTTTTTATTATACTTCCTTTATACATCCATGGGCATTCATGCATGTGGCTCAGTGACCATGACTACTCCATATATGTTTTTAAACATTCACATCACAATTATATATTATCCATTTTGGTGGTATGTGCTTTGTTTGTTTTTTGTTCAGATGTCTGAGACCCAGAATCATATCCAGCAAAAATATAATTCAGAAATAGTGGTAAAATAAAGATAGCCTCAGATCAGGAAAACTAAAAGCATTTGTTGGTAATACCTATCCTTGAGGAAATGTTAAAGGAGGTTCTTCAGGCCAAAAGAAGTAACACCAGAGGGAATATTGTTACTGTTAAGAATAAAGGAAGTATTTATCAGAAATTACAAATGCCTGAGGAGCAAATATAAGAGACTATTTTTGCCCTTTTAAGTTCTTTAAAATAAGTATGACTATTGAAAGCAAAAACCTGAACTTTGCCTTGAGGCATTTTAAATGGATGTAGGTAGATGCAATATACACAAAAACTGTAACATAAGGGAGAGTAAAGGGATCTATATAGTTGTTATATTCTATATTCGAAAGTAGAAAAATATTAATTCAAACTAAACTATGTAAGGTTAGGCATGTTTATACTGCAGTACTTAAACCATTTTCAAAAATACAAGGAGATACAACAAGGACAAAAAATAAAATAAAATACTAAAAAAATATGAAGACAATACAAAGAAAAAAGGAATAGAGGAACAGAAGCAGGATAAATTAAAACATAGGATAAATATAAAATGAATGATTAAATGGTGGGTCTAAACTCAAACACACGAGTAATTATATTAAATGTAAATGGTCAAAACATACCAATTGGAAGAGATGGTAAAATCGAATTAAAAAACAAGGCCCAACTCTATACTTGGTCCAAGAAATCTGCCTTAAATGTGATGACACGGATTAAAAAGGATAGAAAATGACATATCATACAAACACTTTCAAAATAAAGTTGGAGAGGCCATACTATTATTAAACAAAGTAGACGTCAGAATACCACACCAGGTATAAAGTGAAACATGACATGATTAAAGGGTCAGTTTTAATGAATATGCTGCACCTAACATTAAGACTTTAAAATACATGAAGTCTTTTCATTAACATGGCACTGAAAAGTAAAGTTCTTGCTCCTCCCAAAGCTGAAACCTAAATAAAAGCCTTGAAAGCTAAGAAAGCAGTTTTGAAAGACATCCACAACTACAAGAAAAGAAGATCTTCCTATCACTCCTTCTGGTGGCCTAAAAGACTGAAACTCCAAAGGCTAACCACACTTCCTCAGAAAAGTGCTCCCAGGAGAAACAAACTTGACCGCTATGCCATAGTCAAGTTCTTTCATGACTTCAAGTCAGTCATGAAGAAGATACAAGACAAGAACACATCTCTGTGTTCATTGTGGAAGAAAAGGCAACTATTGATAACATCAGATCAACAGACTGTGAAAATACTCTATGATGCTAATGTGGCCAAGGTCAACATCCTGATCAGACCTGATGGAGAGAAGAAGGTATATGTTCGATGGCACCTGATTATGATGCTTGCCAACAAAATTGGGATCATCTAAACTGAGTACAGCTAGTTAATAATAAATGTAAATTTTTTTCACCAAAAAACCAACATATATATATAAAAAGGAAAAACAGAGCTGAAAGGAGAACTAAATAATCCATAATTATATTTGGAAACTTCAATATTCTTCTCTCAATGACAGATGAGCAAGAACACAGAAAATCATCAAATTACCTAATCACCACTCAACCTCAATCAACTGATATTTATAGAATATTTCACCTAACATTAGTAGGAAGCCCCCCCCCAAAAAAAAAAAAATCCCACTCGTTTTTAACACAAAAAGAGATTCACCAAGACACCCATAATCTGGGCCACAAAACAGGCAAATTTGAAAAAGTGAAAGCATGCAACCAAATCATACTCTCTGATATAACAAAAATCAGTGACAGAAATAAATATATTTGGAAAATCCCCAAATATGCAGGAATAGGACAACACACTTCTATGTAACTGAGTAAAAGAGAAAGTAACAAGGGAAATGAGAAAATACTTTGTACTGAGTAAGAATGCAAATAAAACATACCAAAATCTGTGATCTACAGATAAAAACGGGTTTACAGGGAAATTTAAAGCATTAAATGCTCATATTGGAAAAGAAGAAAATATTCAAACCAATAATCTAAATATTCACCTTGATAAAGTAGAAAAAGAATGAGAAATCAAAGTCAAAAAAAAAATAAAGCTATGATCAGACCAACAACAAAAGACAAACTGTCAGTATCTAGAATAAAAGAGGGCACATCATTACAGATCCTAAGGGTAGTAAAAGGCTTATGTGGAAATACTGTGAACTTTATGCCCATAAACTTTACAACTGAGATAAGACAAAGCCCTTAAAAATAAAAAACTAACAAAGCTCACTCAAGAAGAAATAATAACCTGAACAGTTTTAAACTTATTTTA